TTTTCTACTATGTAATCTTTAAGGAATATTCTCATTATGCTACATGAAATACTATGTATCTCCCTAAAATCCTTTAAGAAAGTATTCTCGATGATTTTCCAGTGAGCTATTGTTTTTAACGTAAGATATGGAAAGGTAAATTACACATGTATAGATGTTCTATTTGTATCTTTTACAAAGTCTAATTGATATTTTTCATGTATTTTGTTCCTCTAGAAATCAGCCAGTTGAAGATGTAACTGTTTTAAACAACAGAAATTCTAATTTTGTGTTTGGAGAAAACATGGTCGAGAGAGTTTTGGTAAGATCTGTAAATATTGACATTTTTCTTCTGTTTCTGAAAAAGCTGGCATTTCAAGACTGAGGACCACATTTTCAAAGTGGTAACCTATACTGTGACCACCACATTTGTTAAATGTACACACAATGCTCCCAGTCCTGTAAATGCTTATGCAAGAGTCATCACTTTTAAGTCAAATCATGTGAGTAAAGTTAAATGTGTTTCTGTGCACAGGATCAATACAAAATGGGTAATTATATGTGTCAGTGCTTCTCTGTACAGACAGTTACTTGTTGGATATGCTCAACTGGCTTATGTGCACAACTCATGCATGCAATTTAGGTGGCCCAAATTTTAGACTTGTCCCTTCAGTAGGAAAATCAATATTAGCAATGTTCTGCAACACCACAAACCACTTTAGACTTTTAAAAATTCAGAGCTGTAGAATTTCTGCACTCTGACTCTCAAGAATATTATTGATTAGCATTATACAAATACACAGGAGATGTGCATGATAAGAAACCTATAACACTGCAGAATCAGCTAAATATAAAAGTTTAAAATATCTCAGAGTGATTTTTTTCTAAGTTCTACAATGTCGTTTTTTACATTTTGGATACATAGGGTGACCAGTAAATTAAGGAATTAGTTTGGAAAGATAGTGGACAAAGTTCCATTGTTGACTGAAATACCAAATGCTTTTTTACTTACATCCTATGTCAGTATTTGCAGGTAGGAGTAAAGTATGCATGTTAAGCTATTATTTCAACTAATCTTTATCTCTGCTGTGTACTATATGATCGAAAACATTCCTGATCTTTCAGCTTGCTACCAATATCAAACATGTAAACTTCACCATTTCTTAAACTGCTTTTTCCTTGTTTCTTCGATTTTTAGAGTCCTCAAAAATCCCCTAACCTACATAGTGAAACAGATCTACGTAAGAGAGAAAAAACAACCATGGATGCTGAAACATTTTGTATTGGTTATTCACATACAGGTAAGTTAGCAAACAAATACAATGAGATTCTATCAATAGGTTAGTTTCAGTGCATCATATAAAACATCACATTTAATGTATTCAGAATTATCATCTATTTACTTTAAAGTTATCCAGTCATTAGCATACTATTGGAATGTGGACCATAAATTTCAGTGTCCAGAAAAAAAGTCCACAAATTCAATTCTCACTCTGATCATCATCACCTCAATGGGGAAAATGGATGGCTGGGACATTACCTACCTAATATTCAGTGAAGGTGCCAACAGCTCAGTGTGGATTTTAACTGTAATACCAGACTACAAAGGGAAGCCTCAGAACTGTCATTCATGCTTAAATTTGACACTTTACGAATGGGCCTTAACAAAGATGCTAATTATCTTACCCATTACAAAGATAGCTCCCCCAATTATCACCCCTAATATAATTATCTCATAGACACTAACCTCCCTCTCTTACTCCTCTCCCCCCATTCTAAAATCTGATTTGACAATTTTATGTGTGTTCATTTTTTTGTTATTGTATCTCTTTGGTATATATGGTCGTGCCAATTTTCTTCCACAATTTGATCTGAGGAAGTGGGTCTGGCCCACGAAAGCTCATCACCTAATAAACCATCTTGTTAGTCTTTAAAGTGCTACGTAGTCCTGTTTTTTGTTTGTTCTAGATATAGGCAAACTAGATGATTACCTATGGCATCAAGCTTTAAGGTGGGGGGACTCACTCGAGGGCTGCACACAGGTGAGAAGCACAAAAAAAACCTCAAAGCCCCAACCCTATAAAAACCCTTCACTGACATGGCCCCCGACTGAGAAGCAGAAAGACAGATGCTCCCTATATTCCTCTCCCACCAGATCCTAGGGGAACCACGTTAGTAGATTTTGTGTGCTCCAGCTCCGTGCAGGGATGTCGGGGAACTGGAGTGCCAGCATGGGCTCCCCAATGCTGAAGGGAGGCCCCAAGCATCGGGGGCCGGATCCACGCAAGCCGGAGGGTCGCATCTGGCCCCTGGGCTTTTGGTTCCCCACCCTGCTTTAAGGGACGCCAAACTAGACAGAAGTGAATTTTTTTCCCTCTAATTAAAAAATATGAATAGGTTATCTCTTATAAATGAGAGCATCACATGCTGTGGCTGTGTACAGTGACGCGCCGTGATCCCGAAGACGCTGCGCCCACCAGGACTTTGTCCTTGCCACGTGGTCGCCCTCTCTATTCTCCTCCTCTTTATACTGCTGCTTTTTCCCCCCAATTCTTCTGTAGGAAGAGGTTTTTCCAACATTTGGCCTGTCTAGACTGGACCAAATGTCAGAAAAACCACTTCTTTGGAAGCCCCGTTATTCCTTGTGGAAAGAGGAATATAGGGGTGACTGAAAGATCATGTTTGCTCTTCCACTAAAAGAAGCGGAAGAACAAATGTATCCCTGGATGCAGAAGAGTTTTTTCTGGAATATCTCTGGAATCCTGAAAAACACCTGCAGTCTAGCCGTATCCTCGCTGGGCTGAGACAGGATGTGTAGGCTCTGGGGTGGGAATGAGGGATTTAGGTGTGGGAAGGGGTGAGAGGTGCAAGCTCTGGGAGGAAATCTGGATGCAGGAGAAGGTGGATAAGGGGACGCTGGCTCAGGGTGGGGGCTCCAGGCCAGGCAGTGCTGGGGTCAGATGTAGGATTAGGGTACTAAGCAAGCCACAGACTTCTGGATGTGAGGGGTCAGGAATTTGGGTTGGGGTACGTGAGGGGCTCAGGGCAGGGGTTCCAGTGTATTACAGGCTCAGATGTAGGGTCTGGGGGAAAGGGGAGTGCAGGAGTGTTATGATGCTGTGGCCAGGCTAGGCCCCAGTTGGGGGCTTGTTGGCCAGGCTTCATTTTTAAATAAAATACTATGTCAAACACAAAAAGTTTCTGCATTGTCTTTCTGAGAAGGGCAGGGAACCTGTTTTGAGTCAGGGGTCACTGACCCACAGAAAAGTCAGTTGGAGCCACACAAGCGAGGTGCAAAAAAACCCTCCTCTAACCCCTCTCTCTCCCAAACTTCACTAATGTGGCCCCAACTGTGTTGGTGGGAGCAGGGGACATAGTACTGGAAGGGTGGTAGTGGGTGCTTCGGCAGGGGCCAGGGTGCCAGTGGGGACAGAGTTCTGTGGCTGGGGGCAGGGGAGAGGAAACGGTGCCGGGAGGGGAGAGGACAGGGTTCTGCAGCAGGGGACAGAGTGCCAGTGGGGATAGGTTTCTGCAGCTGTGGACAGGGTGCTGCTGGGGACAGAGTTCTGTGGCTGGGGACGGGAGCGGGGACAGAGTTCTGTGGCTGGGGAGTGAGAAGAGGGGGCAGAGAAGAGGGGGCCGAGGGGGCAGGGTGCCAGTAGGGGCAAGGAGTCTCCTGCACCCACATCCTCCCGGGATTCCCCCCGCCCCCCAGAGGGAAGCCAGTGTACACCTCCTTTGGGCCTGACTACTCTCTCCCCCTGCGCGGGGAAACCCCTGTGTGCGCCTGCCCTGGGGCCGACCCCCTCTCCCCCCACGCGCGCCTGCCCCGAGGCTGATCTCTCCTCCTGCGGCGCGTGCCTTCCCCCACAAGTGCCTTCCCGGGGCCGACTCCTCCTCCTGCGGCGCGGGGAAACCCCCACACGTGCCTTTCCCCACAAGTGCCTTCCCGGGGCCGACTCACCCCTCCTGTGGCACAGGGAAGCCGCCGCGCTCCTCCTCCGGGGCCGATGCCCCCTCCCACAGCGTGCCCGGCACGCCACAGACTTCTGGGAGGGGAGCAGCCAGTGCACTTCTGTAACCCCCAGAAGTGGTGCGAAGCTGCAGGACTTCCATCCACTCCACGGGAAGCCGGCACTACCTCCGTTGTTGCTGGAGGTAGGTAGTGGGGCTTCTCTGGGGTAAGGGAAAAATGGGGGGGCCCGAACGCTTCGCTATCAACTGGTCAAGGCCTCGCGATCGACCAGTCGATCGTGATCGACCGGTTGATGACCACGGCTGTACAGATTAATTCGGCTACCCCCTGAAGTTCCAGAAAACAACTGTCACTTAGCTTGTGACTCAAAATTAGAGCTAGATTATCATAATAATCAGGGCTCGCTGAGTGGTGGTGAGTCCCGCTCGCCAGCCGCGCAATTCTGCGCTCTGCGCCAGCTCTTCCGGGCTGTAATCTACTCTCCACAGGCGAGTAGATTACACTATTTGTCGAGCCCTGATAATAATGAATATTTGTTGATTAGACTATTTTTATTTGCAAGTTTTCCTTGAATAAACTTTGAGTTTTACAAATGTATTTGCTATTAACAATTGTGTAATGAATACTTTGTGAACACATTTCAGTCAATAGTTTGTTTATGAACAAGTCCCTTCAACTATAGTTTTAGCTAGTTGTTCATGTTCTTTCCTGCTAAACATTCACACCACTCTTATTACCATTATTATATACGGGCCTTATGTTTTTCATGACTATGACTCTGAGCAGCAATGTCACAAAATAATTTGATTTGAAAACTCAACTATTAATTAGCTAGATTTGATCCTGCTAGGTCTCCCCTGTGGGTGGACCAATGTGCCTCTACAGAACCCTGGACTGCGGTTTTATTCTATGAAGAATATACTGGAATGCCTGAAATTTATTAAATTGTTGACTGATATCTAGACTAGGGGGAACATACAAAGACATAGACAATACAAATAGACATTTTATTGACATGCTAAAAACATTCCCTCTGGGGACAGACATTTTAGGATTTTCTATTCTTTCTCTTTCTCCTTTAGAAACATTTTTTGTCAAGAAGTCAATACTAATTGAATCAGCTGCTGATCACATTTCCAAACCAGCAAAGAAATATTTATTAGATAAAGTTCAAGTTATAACAGGGGAAGAAACAGAACACAACGTGTTGCAGGTATATATTTTCCAAAAGGCTGCATGGTGAACCTTTCTTCTTATGTTTAGAAAAAACATTATGGTCTACTGTAACTTATAATGTTATGAATATGCATGTATTACTACTTTGGTGGACAATTAATAATTTTGCCCCTTTGTTAAAAATGTGCTTCTGTTAACCAATTTTACAGTTTGTATGTAGCTTTTCATTGTATATGCTCTGCATTGAATATGGAGAACTTTCAACTTCCAAAATCATGAGCCAAAGTCTTATTCTACTATTGTCTGTTATAACTGTCTTCACAATAGGTCAGTAATCCCTAGCACCAAATTATAAGTACTCATAAAGTTACTTTATAAATACAAAGACTTGATTTTTTTAAAGTAAGGTGTTATCAAAGTAAGTGGTTTTATAATATAACTAAGGTACATCATTGTCCTCTTATCAGAGGGGTAGCCGTGTTAGTCTGAATCTGCAAAAGCGACGAGGAGTCCTGTGGCACCTTATAGACTAACTGAAGTGTAGGAGCATAAGCTTTCGTGGGCAAAGACCCACTTCGTCAGATGCATGTAGTGGAAATTTCCAGAGGCAGGAATAAATATGCAGGCCAGGATCAGGCTGGAGATGATGAGGTGATCCAATCAAGGAGGATGAGGCCCACTTCTAGCAGCTGATCTGGAGGTGTGAATTCCAAGGGAACAGAAGATTGTCCTCTTAGGCCATCTGGATTAATCTTGCTACTCAAGATTCTTATGACTCTTGTTTTCTTGGCAAATAACACTTGCATATGTACCAAACATTTAAAAATGAAAAGATATAACACTGTAAGATTGCTTGAATCCCCTATCCCATTCATATGTGGGAAATTTGCATGTTGTGGGTTATTAGCTTCAATTTATGATGGTGCTGGTACAATGGATTGCACGAAACTTCTGATTTCAATGATGTCACAGGATGATGCATTCTGGGACATCTTCAGGAAATATGTATATGTCAGAGGTTTCACAGAGATAGGTTAAAATTGAAAAGTTAAAGTGAAGTGTATTTCTACGCTATATGTTCCCCATAGCCTGGTTAGTAGTATTCAGTATAAATCTGGGATTAGAACAATTTTTATTTCCCTTTTAAAATTTATCTAATTTTATGCAAACTGTAAAGTAAAAAGTTACAGCTCAGAGATATGAAAACTGTATGCGGTTCCATTAACTGAAACAACAAAATTCAGATTGGTTGTCAATTTCCATAATTTTCTCCCTTTAGATCAGCTGCAAGCTGTTTGTATTTAATAAACTATCACTATCCTGGACTGAAAGAGGCAGAGGATCCCTGAGACTTAATGATACTTCAAGCAACAAATATGGAACTTTACAGTCAAGGCTAGGTACAAAAAATCAGTCCCATTTCTTAATTGTGCTATCATTTTCCATAGTCGATTGGATCTCACAACATTTTTAATCCTGCATCCAGGTTTGTTTATATCTATATCAGGTTGCTCAAAGACTTTCCAATCTAAAATTAGTTACCTTCCAAACATCCCTAGCCACTGCAATTGTTGTGGTCCTCCGGTAATGTGAATTGAGGAGGGAAGGAGAAGAGTGTGGGAGTCCCAGGCTGGGGGCAGGGTGGAGTCATGTGAGGGTCACATAGGGAGGATTACATGACCTTCCCTTTAGCTGATGTGCCTCCCCCGCTAGCCCGTACTGGTAAGAACTTTTGTGTACTTGCACCACTGCCATTTATTGAGCAGTACTTTCTTATACTTCTTATATTTGTAGTTCTGAAAGACTGTTTCATTATATCAATTGAAAAAAGGTATAAAATATTGTGAGAAATTTTAAAAATATTAAAACATAGTAAAGAATTTAATCCCCCATCTCTTTCAGAATATTAGGCTATAATCTCATGAAATGCAAAGTTAATGAAAACATGATTTTTTTATAGGAGTACTGAAAAAAATCAGCAAAATGGAAGTTTCAATTTCCATATAATGTCTAATATTTAAGCATTCCTGTTTTTAGTTATGCGAAATCAAGGCAGTTTAAGACTGATTCTCAACACCAAACTCTGGGCTCAGATGGTGATAGAAAGACCAAATCGCAAGAGTCTGTGCATCACTGCAACAGACATAGAAGACAATTCTGTTAAAGTATTTTTAATACAGGTAAGCAAAAACTGAAAAAGAACATTATCTAGAACTTGGCAATTTAGCTCAGACTCCTTGTTCTCATGAGCCTCCAAGTCTGGCAAGCCTCCTTATGGTGAAAAGTGTAGGGCTATAACACATACAGACTTGCCATTGCTGTCTATTGCTGTTTTGTGCAAAAAGCTGAAGGTCTAGCATGCTCCTAGGAGACAACTAGATCACTGTATAAGACACTTAGCTGGGGTCACTAAAGCAATTTTCTACAAGATGATGTTCCCAGACTGTGGTCCATGGAGTTCAGTGATCTTTGGTACTGGCTACTCCATGATATTAAATAACATTAAACGATGGCTAAAATATGCCAACACATTCTCCTGATTTTCCTTCTGCATAGAAACAATTGCTAAGTTGCCACAGGAATAGTATTCAAAGTGATCTTTGTGGTTGACTATGTGGGGAGTAGTCCATGAAATTGTGACTAGAAGGGTGGGTGTTCCACAAGAAATGTAAGAATGGCCATACTGGGTCAGACCATTGGTCCATCTAGCTCAGTATCCTGTCTTCTAAAAAACAGTGCCAAAAGCTTTCGAGGGAATGTTCAGATCAGGTCAGTTATTGAGTAATCCATCCCTAGTTGTCCAAGCAGAGATTTAGGGAAACCCAGAGCATGGGGTCGTATCCCTAGCCAACTTGATTAAGACCCATTGATGGCCCAGTCCTCCATGAACTGACCTCATTCTTTTTTTAACACATTTAGGCTATGTCTATATTGCCCTCACTTGTGCAAAAAATATGCAAATGAGGCAAAGCATGGAATATCGCTGCACCTCATTTGCATTATTAATTAGGCTCTGTTTTTTGCGCAAGAGGCTTTTTCACAAAAAAGGAGCCACACTGCATAATGCTGCACAAATAGCATAGACGCCCACTGGCACAACAAGGTGTAATCCATAGCAGGGCACTCTTTTCCCTCCTTTGCAGCAGTGCTGGGAACCTGTGGCACACTGCTGCATGAGTCATCACCACCCTAGATTCTGGCCTTGAATGTTAGAAAATCTCTACCAGCCCCCTTCTTACATCATGGTACCCTGATGGCATGTGCTAGACGACCCCAACCACGTACATGGCTTATAGTTTGTTCTCTTCTCCAGTGGTGAAAGTAACTTAAAATTTCTTATAGGTACTGTCCTATTGCAACCCAGGTGCCTGCCAGCTCTTTAAATAGCTTCCGGCTGACTTTTGCTGCAGCTCAGCCAGCTCTTTCTGGAGCTGTACACGATGGTGGTGCACCTGTTTACATTCACCTCTGCTCCTCTCTCTATCTGTACAGCGAGGCACTAATGTTAAGGATTTCAGCAGAGCTGAAAATAGAATGGCAGGTTCCTGAGTTCCAGAAACAATTAATAGGACTCTGTTTTAGGGAGGGTACCTGGATAGCTGGGGAAACAGTCATGGAAGTGCACTCTTTGAAGTGGACGCTGCTCCAACAGCCAGAGCAACTGTTGCCATCACATGGTCCTGACTGCTGGGGGAGCAGCTGCCACCTCCACGCAGCCCTGGCCCCCGAGCCCCGGAGCAGCTGGGCAGTTATTACATGGTCCTGGATGCAGTCCTGGAAAGCAAAAAACTTCCCAGCTGAGCCCTCACTCACTATTCCTCTCCTCCCCCCGTCTCCCGCAACAGCAGCAGCTCATCTTCTACCAGCACACTGCTGTGTAACTCTGCTGGTGGATAATTTTTTGTACACAGCTCTGCAACTGTGCATCTCAGAGGGAACTATGGTGGTACCCAGTACTGCATACAGTATTCAAGGTGTGGGCATACTATGGTGTATACAACAGTGCTATGATATTTTCCGTGTTACTGTTTCTTAATGGTTCTTAACATTCTTAGCTTTCTGTCTGCTGCTGCACATTTAGCAGCTGTTTTCAGACAACTACTCAAGATGACTTCAAGAGCTCTTTCTTGAGTGATAACAGTTAATTTAGAGCCCTTTATTTTTTATGTATACATGGGGTAATTTTCCCCAATATTCCTTATTTTTGCACTTATCAACATTAAATATAATCTGTCATTTTTGTTGCCAAGTCATTCAGGGTACATCTAGACAGTGGCACTATTTCAGGATATGTCTGGTATCACGAAACACCATTTTCTGCATCTTAGCAACAAGCCTGTTATTTCAAAATATATCCAAAATAACAGGCTTGTTATTCTGATGTCCCAGTAAACCTCATTACATGAGGATTATGGGACTTGTCAGAATAGTGGTCTATTTTGTAGACAGTGCCAAATTTTGAAATAAACTATCTTGAAATAAGATACGCAATTTGAATTGTGTAGCTTATTTGGAGCTACACAGAGCTGTATAGACATACCCTCAGTTTTGTGCGATCTCGCTCTCTAATTCTTCACACACTGGTTTGGACTTAACTATCTTGAGTAAATTTGTGTCTTCTCCAAATTTTGCCATATTACTATTAGGGTTGCCAGGTGTCTGGTTTTGAACCAGACAGTCCAGTATTTGAGCTTTCTGTTCAGGAAACAAATTGAGAAAATATAAATGAGCAAATATAAATGTTCGGTATTTTCTAAATAAGATGTAATGTAGATTGTGATGCAATGTCAAATGTGTCCGGTATTTTTGTTGAAACCATCTGGCAATCCTAATCACTATTACCCCCTTCCCTGATTATTTATGAATATGTTGAAAAGCACAATCCCAGTACAGATCCTGATATTTATCTCTTTTACAATGTGAAAACTGACTATTTGTTCCTACCCTTTGTTTTCTATATTTCAAACAATTACTGATCCATGGGAGGACCTTCTCTTATTCTATGACTTCTTACTTAAGAGTCTTTGGTGTGATCTTGTGAAAGGCTTTCTGCAAGTCCAAGAACAGTATGTCAACTGGATCATATATGTCCATGTGCTTGGTGACACCCTAAATACATTCTAACAGACTGCTGAAGCATGAGTTCCCTTTTGAGAAGCCATGTTGACTCTTCTCAAACAAGTCATGTTCATCTGTATGTCTGATATATCAGTTCTCTTCTATATTTTCAACCAATTTGCCTGCTATTAAAGTTAGGTTGTAGTTGCCAGGATAAACATAAGTATCCCAATAAGTAGCTCTGCACTTTCATATTTGAGTTTGTTTAGAACTTTGAATGGATACCATCTGGTTTTGATGACTTATCAGCATTTAATTTATCAATTTGTTCCCAAACCTCCTCTAGTGACACCTCAGTCTGGAACAGTTCCTCAGATATGCCTAAAAGAATAGCTCAGTTGTGCTTCAGGTTCAAATATATATAAACAATTTGAGAACCACTGAAAAAGGCAGCTACTTGAGTCTAATTTATAACATTTACAATCTTAGGCTTTGTTCCTGAAAAGCCACATAGTCCTGTGATGACATTACTCAGTTGACAACTGAGTTAATTTCTTCTGAAACAACAACTGTGAATGTTTGTAACTGCTTTCTTTTGTGCATGGCTATGGTAAAAGGAAAGTTGTTGGCTGCTGCAAATGTGAGCATGGAAGAAGAGCATGGTACTCTACTGCTTTGCAACTCATACAGACACTTGCACTTGTGCAAATGAGTAGAAATTGGGTATACAACTAGTATGATTCTACTCCAAATTTGTACAGGTATAAACGAATCCACATGGTGCAAAGCAGTGGAGTATCAGACCCCAGAAGACCATATGCTTTCAGCTATTCCCTGGTAAATAATTTCCTTCCTACTTCATCAGCAGAATTCATGGCATCTTTTCATCTGTTAATCAGAGAAATCTCATTTTTAGTTGCTAATTCTGTTTACTTACTTCTAGTCACAAATATTACATATGGACTGTGAAAATTCCTGCAGTTTTATTGTCAGAAGTATATTTTATTACTGGGGAGTTGCACAAAAGCCAGATTATGTATTTAATAAACATTGAATAATTCACTGAGATTAATCATAATTTTTGTTTTAATGTTGGATCCATCATACCAATAAAGAAAACATATAATTATTTTTAACAAATTCTAAAACACAAACCATTTAGATTAACTTGATATTATTTGTAATGAAGCTGATTTTCTTAAAATTACTCAATTGGAATCGTACATAAATTATTTTGACTCCAAAGGACAATAAATCTTTGAAGTGATTTTAGCTCTTTCCAGTCCATCTGAAATCTCTCTTCTTTGCATCTGCACTTCAGATACTGGTCAGGATGCAGTCAGTTATTTTGCAGTTATCTTCAATTGTTGTATGTACTTAATTTTCTTCAGGCAAGTTCAAAAGATACTGGGTACCTGTATGCAGCAATACATCACCGTCTTGTAGCACTGCGAAGCTCTGCTGAGCAAGAACTGGATGCCAATCAAATTGACACAGAGCCCGAAACAGCCTTTCAACCATTAAACAGTGATAGTGATGATGATGATGAAGAAGATGAAACAATAACTCAAGTAAGCAGCAGTGAATCAGGTAAGCTGAGTTGTTCCTGGGATCTTTTGTGCTTCTTTGAACTTCTCTTGGTGCCCTGAGAATTAAGGAAGTCAATGTGTAATAGTAAGCTTGATGCTTATTGGTTCCTGTTAACAATTAAATTCCATTGGTCCCAGCTGCCGACCTGCTGCATGGCTAGAGTCTTGGCTGCAGGGCCTGCAGCCAGGACTCTGGGCATAATACAAGTGGCACCGGAGCCCCAGGCTGAAGGGGTCCGTAGCTGGGACCCCAGGCATGCTGGACTGGCAGTGGGAATCCCTGGGCATGGGGCCAGCAGCAGTGATCCCCATGTACAAAGGAGTGCTGCAGTACCCCCAGTATACCAAGTTTCCCGGTTAAATATTAAACTATATAACTGATAGAATTTTAATTGGTTAGATGGTCATTGTTTTTACACATTATTTCCATCCCTACTGAGAATCCCATTTTTTAAACTTCTACTTTCCATCAAAGTGCCCATGTTTTGGTAACCATCTCTCCAGCACTGAAATAGTTTTAATACTTTGACAGGCTTGTGTCAGCAGTACCAAATTCTTTTAAAATCAATCCTCAGAGTAGTTTTTCGATACAGGAATTCATGTCAAGATGTACAGGTTAAAAATTTTCAAGCTTAAAGTTAAAGCTCCTGAACCCATACTTGAATATCTCAGTTGAAGTGATAAGTAGTGCTAAGTTCAATTTCCAACTACTTTAGTGGGAGCTGAGTCCACTTATATCACTGCTGCATATAGCTCATGGTAGTTACTCTACTTGAACAATAAAAATGGTCATTTGATCCAAACTTATGTAATGGCTGATTTCTTTTACACATCAACTTATGCTGATAGACTTATAAGGGTGAATCTTCACTGCACCGTTATTTTGATATAACTAGTGTTATTTCGAAATAACGAGGCGAACATCCACACAGCCATTTTGTTGTTTCAAATTAATTTCGAAAGAACTGATGGCTTATTCCAAAATCTGTAAACATCATTCTATGAGGAATAACACCTATTCCGAAATAGCTATTTCAAAATAAGGCACGTGTAGATGCTCCACTGCTGCTATTTCGAAATAGCCCCTCACGAGGGCCATTCTAAGTTATTCCTCCCCAGTGCCTCTTGGGGCTCTAAATCAAGATAGCACATCTACATTAAAGAAGTCTTCCTCAGACTAATTTTGAGGCTTCCCTGCAATGTAGATGTGCTATTTTGGAATAACTATTTCAAAATAGCTTATTTCCAAATAAGTCTGCAGTGCACACATACCCTAAGAGTCATTTATGGATGGTAAAATTGGTTGACAGTGCAAGCACCAAGAAATGGTATGTTGCTATAAGACATTAATAACTTTGATAAAGTGAGAGATTCTGCCTAACAGGAAATCTGTGGGGCTACTCATGCTGCCCAGGTTTAATCTGCTTTCACCAATGGAACAAAGATTACAGCTCCTAAGAAGAGTCCACATAAAGCAGGGTGTACTGGAGCAAGATGCTCACAAACCCCATTCCGATGGTAGTTAGCATAGCCTATAAAGTAGCTGGGGCCAATCACAGAGAAGTTGAGGGACTCTAGAGATAGTGTCCAGTGTTGAATGTGGTCTTTCCTTAGTGCAAGATGGACAATAAATGACTCATGGACCAGGTGAAGTTCATGAGGGCCGCCAGACACTTTATTTATTGTCTGCATCTGCAGGGATGGTTGTTTAACTCTGGTTGTCTGTATTTTGACATTCCCAGTCAATGGGAGCTGCAGGAAGTGGCGCAGACCAGGACACCACTTCCCCTAGCTCCCTGTGGCAGGGTAGCCCCGCCCCTCCCGAAGACTGCCGGAACGCCGCGAGCACGGGGGGGAAGCTCCCCCCCCCGCCGTGGCTCGGGGGGACGCCCGCTTGCCCCGAGAGGGAGGGCCGATGCGCCGGCCGGGGGACGAGCCGGGACTGGCGGGCAACGCAGCCAATGAGCAGCGGGAGGAGGCGGGAGGAGGGACGTCACGGGGAGGCCGGCCGGGGGAGGGGCCAGAGGCCGACGAGGGCGGTGACATCATCTGCCTGCGCCCGGCGGGCAGTTTAAATGAGCGCAGAAGGCCGGCAAGCAGGGGGGAGACCGAGGAGGCGCACTACCCCCAAGAGCCGGTGGACGGACGCAGATACTGGAGGCCCTGGGCGGGACCAGAGAGTGAACCCAGGTGAGGCAAGTGGACCTGGGGGGAAGAAGTGGCCCAGGGCGGGGACACGGACCCTGAGAGCAGGGGAGTTTAGGAGTCTCGACCCCCCCCTGCTAGGTGGGGAGTCTTTCCCTGACCTTAGGGCCCTGGGCCGGGGTCCAGAGCGAGGGCGGGCCCGGACCCCCTTCCCCCAACCGCCTAACGGAACCGAGCGAAGCCGGTCACTTCGAGGCGCTAACGACGGAGAAACTGAGGGGGGCGGACGTAAGCCCCTCCGCACAAGGGGGGAACCCCTACACTCCCATTCGCCAGGAATGGTAACCCACGGCCAACAGGAGCTGTGAGTGGCCATACCTGTGGATGCACAGTTATATGAAGTCTGGCAGTCTACTGGGGCCAACCCTGGCAGACTGCATGCAGCCCGCAGGCTGCTTATTGTCACCCCTGCCTTAGAGGAAGGCAGACACTAAGCTGTCCAAGTCTGGAAATTCACCCAGGAGAGCCACCATTGTGCATATAGGGGCTCTAAATTGCATCTGTGTCTTCTCTTGGGAGGAATACAGCAGTGATGTTTGAATTATCATTAGTCACATGACATGTCTCCGAACGAAGCTGCAAGCTGTTCTCTTTTTATTTTTTAAAAGAATTCTTAAACAAGAATCAAATAACATACAAGTAACAGTTATGAGTGACTGTTTACTTTAGGAATCAAACACGCCTTTTTTCCTGTTAACAAAAATATGACAGTTTACAATATTTGTTCCCATAATCATTTGTTGTATCTCTATAATATTCAGTTCACTAAACAAAACATACAATTATAAAACAGAACTTTTTCCCACGTATCCATTTGCAAATATTCTTATTCCATTAAGCAATTGGGAAAATAGTAATCTTTTTGTTTTTCTTTAAATTAACATATTTGGTATACAGAATTAATTTAAATGAGTGCCAGAACTTTAAAATTGATTAAATAATTGAAAATATTAACAGTAAGCACTTTTCCAAATAACTTAACATGAAAACGCCCTTGTTATTTCAACTGCCTTCTGTGTCCTTCCAAAATAGTCTTCATTGGCTTCCAGAAGGGTTTCAATTAATTTGAAAAGTTCAGGTGAAGCTGGATTCATTTCCAGAATTATTGACAGTAAAGACTTCTAATTCTTGCATAAAGGTCAAAGTAATCTCAAAGGTACAGAAGAGTAGATTTCCAAGGTAAATCTTTATTTTTACATTCATAGACTTCTGTTGAGATAGCAGATGACAAATAATCTGAGAACTGTGTTTTAGGTGCACAAAATAAGAGAATTTCGTACAACCTTCTTCTGGTTTCTCCTGGATCATTAAGCCACACCTCTCTTTCATTTGTGTCCAAGTGATATTGACAATAGTACTTGTAGTCCCTTTCAACAAATCTTTGGGTGGCCTCAAGTATTTACTGCTTTATCTTGATCTCTTTTGTTATTCTTATACCCAGGGCTTGACAAACTATGGAAAACTCTACTCGCCAGACAAAAAAGGGACTCGCCACCCCTCCCCCCAAAGTATTTTTAATGGCATAAATTCCTAATAAGAATAAGAACAGTAATTACCAATTGCTAATAAGTTATTAATATCTCCCAAGTTATTAATAAATATCTTATAAACCTCTACCTTTCCCCTCTGCTGCCATGTCTCCTCCCCGTGCTCCATCAGCTCCCCTGGTACCTGCTGCCCCCCAGCCCCTCACCCTGCTCTGCTGTCCTGACTCCTGCCCTTCTCACTGCCCTCAGCCTTCCTGAGACCTGCCCCCCTCCACCAGCCCTTCTCTCCCGCCTGTGCCCACTCCTCCAGTAGCCCCACTCTGATCATGTGAGCTACCCCTCCTCATCCCCTCTCCTAACACCTCCCTCTACACACCTGCCCTGCATCTCTCCTCTGGTGGTGGTCCCTCTCCTTCAGGTGTCTGCCCTTCTGCTTCACCCCCAGAATCCCCTGGCACCTGCACCCTCCTAGTGCCTCTCCCTTCCCTCATTGCCCCTACCCCTTTTTCCCCAATACCCACCCCCTCACCACCTTTTGCCCCCATTCTCCTCATACCCCTGTGCCCTCACACATGCCTTGCTCCATCCCCACCTTCCTCATGCCCACCCCTTCTTTCAAGCCTTCTCCCAGCACCTCCCCCTCCTCCCTCTAGCTCCCAGTGCCCTTACCCTCTCCTCTCCCAGCATCACCCTGTTCCCCCCTCCCACTGACACCTCCCCTCCTGCCCTTTTCCTCATTGTCTGCACTTGACCCCCTGGCATTTGTCTTTCCTGCACCCTTGTCCCTTGGTGCCTTCCCTTTTCTTCTTCTTCTCCTGACCCCCTTCCCTCCCCTCCCCTCAGCACAAGCCCCTTCCCCATATTTTTCCCTTCTCCTCCCCTTCCCTCCCCTCCAGTCTCTTCCCCTCCCCTCAGTACAGCACAAGCACAAGCCCAAGCCCCTATCCCTGCCCCTACCTGGCTTCTGCCTTCCACTTTGAGGGGTTGCCGGAGCGTTTTTGAATCCAGCGGTCGCTGGCCGTGACATCAGGATGCCACGTCCACGCCAGCATCTGGCGTCTGCTGGTGTCCCGCCCTCTGGCTCGCACCCCGCCTCCTCGCACCGGAGTTGCACATAGGCAGACCAGCGCTGAGAATCACCGCACTTCCCCCTTCTAATTACAATGCCTCCCTATGGATCTGGCTTGTAGAACTGGTTTTTGACAAGACAGCTACCTGGAGATCTTTTAAAGAGTGATTTGGAAGATTGAAGTGTTCCCCAATAGGTTTCTGTATGTTTTCTTTATGTATATCTGATTCTTTCCCGCAGAGACTGTCCTGTTTGTCCAATATATATAGCAGTGGGGCACTGCTGGCATTTGATGGCATAGATCAAATTACTAGATGTGCAGTCAAATGACCCTTTGATTTTGTGGCTTATATTGTTTGCATCAGTGATGAATTCGTCAGTGTAGATATGTGGGCAGAATTGGCATCTTTTTTGGTTGCAGGGCTGGGTTCCTGGAGGCTTAAGTTGCGGGCTCTAAATTCACATCTTTTTCAATCGCTATGCCGTGATATGGGATCTGAAAATATTACTGTATTGCTTCATTCCCATATTCGATGGTTGTCCCGAGGAAGATTGTTCAACCATCTATTTTGTCTGAGTTGTGGACTTTAGATAATAACAAGAGTTCTGTTATTTTCTATTTTGGGTCTGTCTTGAAGTAGTTAGTGACTTGGTACTTTTTTGGCTCTGTCAATTTGTTATTTCATCTCTCCAGGTGGGTATTTCAGTTTTAGCAATGCTCTGTAAATATACTGTAGGTGATTGTCTCTGTCTGTCTGACCCTACCTCTTCCGCTGGGGTGGCTTCGGACCACTTCAAAAATAAGTTAAGTGGTCCCCCATGTAAAATTATTGCCCACTCCTGATCTAAGCCATTCCCAAAAGAAATGGAGTAAGTGTCTAAGCCACACAGCTCCAGGAGAGGGGTTCTGCATGGTGGGTGAAGCCCTAACTGGGAAAGGCAAGCATCTAGCCCTACCTCTTCTGCCCAAGGCCCACCCCATCTACAACCCACCCCCTCCCATGGAGCCAAGCCCACCCTCCACCACAGAGTCTGGCCCCTGCCTCGGGCTAGTGCCTCCAACCCTAGGGCACCCCAGGCTCCCCCTAGTCTCTTCCCTTCTAGTAAGTGGAACAGCCCCAGCCTTCCCAGCTCTGGAGCGCTGAGGGACCAGGAAGGATAGGCTGCCCTGCCAGACCCAACCCCCTTCCACCTTGCCCTCTCCCCCTCCAGCTACCAGCCCCAACACTGGGCCAAGTACAGCCTGCTGCACACAGATTGGAGGGCACTTGGGTGGAGCATGGGCAGGGCTACTACTGTCAGTTTATGAAGGCAGTGCCTTCCCTTGCTCTCATTACCTACTGTCCCTGAGTTCCTGGCTATGGTTTTTTAGCAGAGATGGGTTCCTAGCTGCAGCCTGGACTTAGGTACCAAACTCCCTGAGAAGGACAGGGCTTAGGACATGCTCCTCTCATAGGCATCTCCCGTTGACCAGTTTAGGTGATTCCTTGCCTAGTTTATGGGTTTCTGTGGATTGCATTCTTAGTTGCCTATCTCTCCCCGTTCATTGTATAGAGAACCTATTTTCCTATCTCAGGCTTTGTGGATGCTAAGGATTTTCCAGGCACCTAAAAATTATGCATTGCAATGCTCAGCATCATTATGCCTAAACTCCTTTGTGACTTCAGGTCTTGGAGTAGTAGCAGGCCCCCTAGAGTGTTATGATCACATCAGTTTGTGGAAACAACCATTATTCTGTGAGAACAGTTGATGCAGTGATCCCGAGGATGTTAGAAAAAATGGTTCTTGGTGAAGTGTGATAGTTGATGCTATTAGGCCAAAACAACTCACTGTGAGACAGATGACTCTCACATCTGATGCTTTCCGAAGAGAGGATTAAATCCCAGCAGTTCCTTGCTGGTAAGGGCTTAGAAGGGCTGCTTCCCTTTACTTCCATCATTCCTTTCTTCCTTGACCCCTGACAGAAGTTTGTAGATGTGGATCCTCACAAATAAAGGAGAAGAGATAAGTATGGGGACTATACCGGTGGGATTAGGAAGACAGATGCTACTAACAGATGGAGGCAGGATACAAAAGCACACAGGTATTTTACAAACAAGGAAACCTCAGAGAAAGTTCAGAATCTCAGGGGAGCATGGGCCATTATAGCAGGGATAGGGAAGGGAGAAGAGACAATATATAAGGGAAATCAAATCAGAAACTTTGATGTGTGTAAACTAATGCAAGAAATGTGGGGAATAAGCAGGAAGAACCAGAAATGCTAGTTAATAAATTAAAAATGACATAATTGGCATCAGGACCTAAGGATGTAAGCTGCTAGTCAAGTCACTACTTGACTAGTCGCTTACCCCCATTGCTGCCTCTGTCAGAGGCAGCAAGCAGGGTGGAGCAGGAGCTGATGCTGGGGTGGGGGGAGCTGGCTTAAATGTCAGTTCCCCCAGCACTGCCTTCATGGGGGGCAGAGGAGGCAGAGGCACAGTGGGGACTGGGTGCAAGCTGGGACAGCTGATTCCCAGCTCATGCCCAGTCCCCCGCTGCTGTGCCTCTGCCTTTTAAATGTAGTAAGAGCTGGGTGGCTCAGCTCTTACTACATTTAAAAGGCAGAGGCACAGCGGGGTTAGCTCCCAGGGCCAGTTGCTAACCCCACTGAGACTCTGCAGACCCCCTTCCCCCCCCCAATCAACTAATCAGGTAGTTGATGGAAATTCCATTGACTACTCGATTAGCTGATTAAACGCAATTTAACATCCCTATCAGTGACTTGGTTGGATAATACACACGAATGATTATAATAGTTGTATAGAAGGGTAGAGCTTGGAAGGCAGAGAAAAAATTAGTTGTTGCCTAATATATAAAAAATGTATACATCTGGCCTGAAGTTGAGATGAAAATAGGAAACAGATCTGTTGGAAGTCTTTGGGTAAGGATAAAAAACAAGGATGATGGGTCTAGGACACCTAATCCACTTAAACAGGAAGAAGAGATAGATGGGGATTAGATTAATTGAAGAGATGAGTGCCCAATCTCCCAGCCACCCTTCTTTTTTCCAGAGGTATAACAGAAATACTGCTTCCCACCCATTTTAATCCCCTCCTTTTGTGATTTACTCTCAATGAGTGTATAAGACTTCTCAAAGGCATCAGCGAAAGATGCTATTTCATCCACAGTTTTCACATTTTATTCCTATAGAGACTGTTTCATGTCATCTTTACAGACACTTAGGAAGTGCTTCTGAGCAACAAGGTCAAACATTTCTTCAACTCCTTTTCCCCCATCAAATTTTTCATTTTGTTTACATATCCTCACTCATACTAGCATTTCTCTTCCGAGTCCTAAATTTCATTCTGTCTTTTCCAGGGATAATCTGAAATAATTTCAAAACAATTTTTTTTTGAATATACAGTTATCTAAAGCATCCTGTACTGGCACTTTATTGAATATATTCAGAGCTTTACCAATTAACTTTGTAAGCAAAGTGGGGATTTTCTTGTCCTCGGAAATCTCATGAATCACAAAGAGCCTCTCAGAGGTAGTAAAATATTCTGTAACATTGCCTATCTTTTTGTATGCAGGAAACAATTGTTTCCAATTATTCATTTTTTAAAAAGTGGGATGGACTTTGAGGGAGGGCTCCGGTTCTCCAGCAATTGGTGTCTCCACTCTTTTTCCTTTTCCTCACCTGCTTTGGCTTGCAGTTCTAAGGTCTGCTGATGTGCTAACTCCTCAACTTGTATCTGAGCTGGTTTTCAGTTCCTTTAGCTCCAAGATTCAAAATGTACTTTCTCTCTTCTGTCCCCAGCAGTCTGAACAATTTACAATTGCATCACTCTTGCCTATCTTTCAGCTTTTTCTGTTTTTACTTCCCCTTTCCAAAATAAGCAAACAGAAAGTGACAAATTGGTAACCTCCTCTTTGACTGTTCTCAGCCACCATACTTAGTCTCACTGAAAATATTGTAAATGCCATCTGCAGTGCCTTTCACCCTGCTTTCTGCACCACTGTGAAAGGGTCCCTGGGGTTCAACATGGACTAAGGAACTACTGAGCCCTCCAAACCCACCAGCATGGGTTGTGTCTCACACTGTAATGTTAATATCAAACTATAAGTATCTGACAGGCACTGTACTTACACAGTCACCCACAGGCAGGGATATAGCTGAGTTATGTGAATGATTTCCCAGCCACTCATAAATCAGCAATAAAGAGGCTCCAGCCAGTTCCTCCAAGTTGCCCACTAATGTTCCCTCTAATCTTTTCAGTCCATGTGAGGATTTTTTCCATCCATCTGTAGAATAATTTTTATAAACACCGAGGCAAGTGCCAATGTGCGCCACAATTAGAAACAAAAAACCTAGCTGTAGGCACTTTGCTAATCAGCTGGGCAGCATTTAGATCTCTCCTGAGCAGCTGCACAAGTGCACAGCTTACAGGGAACACTGCTCCCTAGCCTTGCATACCTGAACTGTATTGTCTTGCACTGGTTTGAAGCCTGGTCAGTGTAAGCTTGTTACAGTATTAGTTAACTCCCTTGGTATGAAATACACATATAGTAGTCTTTGTAGTCTGATCTGAGGATCCCCAAGCACATCGCCCAAAGACACATTGTTGTAGGTAAAATATAAAATCAATTTATTAAATGAAGAATGATTGATTTTAAGTAGCAGTTAAAGATCAGAGTGAGTAGTCATGCTGACTTATCTGCAAAAGTGTGTATAGATGTTCCGGGGTTATCTAATTAAATTATATGTATATAACCAACAAATATATTATATCCTGACTTTAACCTATTACTCTATTATGAAATACTGATTTGATTCAAAGTGTGAACATAATGAAATAACCAGATATATTAAATTCTATTTCAGATCATTCTAGATGGATACGCAGACAGCCTGTTGTGTGCTCATGACAACTACATATGATTAGAACAATATAATTAGTAGCTCATTTTGCTGAAAATCATAAACCATCTCAGCAGATCCTTGTATAAGGAAATCCTATGCACTTACACTATATGATTTTCAAGCAAAGATTAACTTTTAAGGCAACATAAGCTTAATACAGCAGATACGGATGTCAGAAGCACTTTAAGGATTTCAATCTTCATCTCTTGTAGTGGAAGGGGAATGACAGGATGGTCTCCACTATTCAAGAAGCATTACAAAACCTTCAGATCTGGAATTGATTGTATATAGAGACAGTAATAAAGTGAGGGATTTAATATCTTATCAAAGTTCACTCATCGTATTGATAGAATTGTGATATTTCTATAAGAATGTATATTTATTATTTCTTTATATAATGTTTATCCACAAAAAGCTGTGTATCATGAAAACGTTAAATGTAGTTTTATTGGAAAAATCCATAGTTGTTGTTTGATAACATTTAAGATCCTATACTGCAGTCCATATTCAAGCAGAACTCCTTAGTTATGTCTATACTGAGCTGTTTTGTGCAAAAAATATGCAAATGAGGCAAAGCGTGGACTATCGCTGTGCCTTATTTGCATCATTAATGAGCAGCCGCTTTTTGCGCAAGAGGCTTTTGCGCAAAAAAGAGCCCTCTACACAGGTCCTTCTTGCGCAAAAACCCCCTCTTGCACAAGAAGCGTTCTTCTGCATTTTTTTCAGGAAGAAAAGGACCTGGGGATTACAGTGGATGAGAAGCTGGATGTGAGTCAACAGTGTACCATTGTAGCCAAGAGGGCTAATGGCATATTAGGGTGCATTAGGAGGAGTATTGCCAGCAGATCCAGAGAAGTGATTATTCCCCTTTATTCAGCTCTCTAAGGCCACATCTGAAGTACTGTGTCCAGTTCTGGGGCCCCCTCTATAGAAAGGATGTAGATGCATTGGAAACGGTCCCGCGGAGGGTGACCAAAATGATAAGGGGGCTGGAGTGCATGATCTAGGAGGGACTGAAGGATTTGGGTTTGTTTAGTCAGCAGAAGAGAAGAGTGAGGGGTGATTTGATAGCAACCTTCAACTTTCTGAAGGGAGGTTTCAAAGAGGATGGAGAAAGGCTATTTTCAGTAGTGATGGATGGCAGAACAAGGAACAATGGTCTCAAGTTACAGTGGGAGAGGTCTAGGTTGGATATTAGGAAAAACTATTTCATTAGGAGGATGGTGAAGCACTGGAATGGATTACCTAGGGAGATAGTGGAATCTCCACCCTTAGAGGTTTTTAAGTCTCGGCTTGACAAAGCCCTGGCTGGGGTGATTTAGTTGGGATTGGACTGCCTTGGGCAGGGGCTGGACTTGATGACCTCCTGAGGTCTCTTCCAGCTTCGAGTCTATGAAAACTCCCTTTTCTTATACAAAATAAGTAATTGCACAGATGGCACGTGCAAATGGATGCACATACAATACTTCTGGAGATCTGTTTCAACTTTTGCCTTAAATCTGTGAACTAAAACTACAGATACATGTAATAGCTTTATTAAGTACTGGTATCCCTGAACACTGTTTCCTTTGATGATGTATGTCTAACAGCCATGCTAACACATACATTAATCCAACGAGTACTAAAAAGATCATCACTTGATGGTAGTAACCCCACCAACCATTGCCCATTGTCTAACCTCTATTCGAACTAAGCAGATTGAGAAACAAGAATACTGGATCCTTCTTAGGCCGTTGCATGTTACAAAGACAGCATTTGATGCACAGATGCTCTCTGTTCTTCTTGCCAACAACAACAAAAATAAGGAAATATCCATATTCACCTCACTATAGCATTTAATACCATTGATTATAAATTATTTGTTTTCCACCACCAGCAGCTACAGATGTGAAAAAAATACCCTGAAATGGCTTCTGCCTTTTGTTTGAGAATAAACCCAGAGGCTTGAATAGTTACTTCTCTCAAAAGGTGCCACCAACAGAGTACCTCCCATTTCATTAATCATTTCTATGAAGTTGTTGGGAGAAGTTGTGAAACATGGATTTAGATGCCAGCACACAATGAACATTCAGCTCCATAACGTTTAAAAAGAATAATAAATCGTACTATTTCTCAGAATTTCCAATGCCTCAACAAAATTAGCACCAGCATGTGGGAAAGGCTGAGGTGATGCTGATAGAAAAATGGAAATGCCATTGTAAGGGCATCTGCCCTCAAGTTAGGTCACTGTTTTGGGAGCCTTTTGCATCTACTTTTACTGATGGCAAATAGCCATAAAAATGCACCTTTTCTGTGACTGACTAATCCTGCTGATCGGTTTCATACCTGTCAATAGATATCTCTCATTACTGAGCTCCACTTTTTTATTGTAATTCACATCAAGAAAAAGCTACACACACTGAAAAAAACTTCAACTGTTGTTAAAGGCAGCAGCCCATGTACTCAGCAACAGGTCATAATGAGAATGTTGGTGAGTTTCTCCATTCTCTGAACTGGTTTTCCTTTGAATGCTGAGTTTGATTCAAAATTTATCTTGACAATCAAACTCTCCAATGAACAAGATCTTGGTACCTCAACAATTTGCAGCCATGACTCCCACAACAACTATGTTAGTTTACAACCACAAAACTGTCAACAAAGGAAGGCTCAGGAGTGAGATACAGAACTTTCATAGATGCTGCCCTGATATGCATACCCAGAAGATACACGGATACAATGGAATTGTGATAATTCAGAATTAAATGAATGACCTATATCTTGTGAGTTTGCTCTTCCCCCCTGAAAGTTTACACACCCACATCACCTATGAGCTGAGAAGGGAGAAAGAAATGTTGTTTCTCTTTTTAACTACTTTGGAGGTGTTCAGTTATAATAGTGATGGAGCCATATAAATGCATATTCATGGTATGAGTTTTTAATTTTGATATCTTGATGCATTAAATTATTTGTGCTATTTTAGTGTTGCACTATAATCTCTACTTTTTAAAAATAACATTACTATGAAATACTCTCAATACTGAATTAAAGTATTTGAATTTATTGCAGCATATAAAACAATTTTAGCCAAACAATTTACTGATAACATACATTTTCAGTCTAACAAGATGTCATCTTCTGTGTCTCAACTATACCTCTGAATAAAAATAAATATATTTTTTTAAAAAAGGAAACCTGTCACTTTTTTTAAAAATTCAGGCTCAATAGGAGGACCAACTTACAGGCAGTCCCCGAGTTACGCGGATCCGACTTATGTCGGATCCGCAGTTACGAACGGGGCCCGTCTCCCTGGTCTCCAGCAGACCAGGGAAAGGAAGCAAAGCGGCGGAGCACGCGGACAGCGGACAGCCCAGACGCATCTGGGCTGTCCGCTGCCTGCGTGCTCCTTGGATTTGCTCTGCTTTGCTCCGGACGCCTGTGGTACAGCAGCTGGGGCGCTGCCGGTTGGTCCCGTAGCGCCGCTCTGGGCGCTACTGGACCAACCCGGCATCCCCCCAGCTGCTCTGCCCCAGGCGTCCTGATTCAGCCACTGCTGGTCAGTTTCAGCAGCGGCTGAATCTGGACGCCAGTTCTGACTTACATACAGATTCAACTTAAGAACCCCAGGCATCCCCAAGTCAGCTGCTGCTGAAACTGATCCGCAGCTGATTCCAGGAAGCCCGGGGCAGGGGCTTCCTGTAGTCAGCCACTGGTCAGTTTCAGCAGCGGCTGAATCTGGACGCCAGTTCTGACTTACATACAGATTCAACTTAAGAACCCCAGGCATCCCCAAGTCAGCTGCTGCTGAAACTGATCCGCAGCTGATTCCAGGAAGCCCGGGGCAGGGGCTTCCTGTAGTCAGCCACTGGTCAGTTTCAGCAGCGGCTGAATCTGGACGCCAGTTCTGACTTACATACAGATTCAACTTAAGAACCCCAGGCATCCCCAAGTCAGCTGCTGCTGAAACTGATCCGCAGCTGATTCCAGGAAGCCCGGGGCAGGGGCTTCCTGTAGTCAGCCACTGGTCAGTTTCAGCAGCGGCTGAATCTGGACGCCAGTTCTGACTTACATACAGATTCAACTTAAGAACCCCAGGCATCCCCAAGTCAGCTGCTGCTGAAACTGATCCGCAGCTGATTCCAGGAAGCCCGGGGCAGGGGCTTCCTGTAGTCAGCCACTGGTCAGTTTCAGCAGCGGCTGAATCTGGACGCCAGTTCCGACTTACATACAGGTTCAACTTAAGAACAAACCTACAGTCCCTAGCTTGTACATAACCTGGGGACTGCCTGTATTTTAATTGTGAAAAATAGTCAGTATATAACCTGTGCACACAAAACTTCCACTGAAACCAATAAAGATTTGAACATACAAGGAATGCAGAATCATACCCTTAAACATTAACTCAGTTATAATTTTCAAAAGTAGCTGAAAACTCACCTTTTCTGGAAAAAGAATGATGTAGTAGTCAACATTAAAATTTATCTGCTTCTGATAGATTGATAGGCAATCTGATAAAAACCGTTTGATGATCAACATGGCCCAAGTGTTTGGTAATGAAATTTAGAGCCTTTCACCTTCAGATCCGCAGGCTAAATCTCTACCTCAAACTTGTTACCATTTTCTATCATTCATTCACCTATTTAAAATGAGTTTTTAGTTCAGTACTCTTCCTAGTGAATAGGGGTCCACATCAGCAAACCGCCATCACATTTGTCACTGAAACTCACTGCTACTGGCAATCTATGCAGAGTGGCCAAGGACTGAAAATGTATGGGGACTAAACTCCATTTCTCCTTGGGGTAGTTCTTCCATGACTTAAAATTGATGCATGCTGGCAGAGAAGTTTACACTGCTATTCCCTCTGGGTAAGTCTACATTAGCCCCCTAGATTGATCTAGGGAGGCTAATGAGGGCAACCGAAATTGCAAATCAAGCCCAGGATTTAAATATCCTGCGCTTGATTTGCATGTTCCTGGCCGGTCGCCATTTTAGAAATTGACTAGCCCAAAGTAACTGCCCGCTTCTACATGTGGCAGTGAAACAGAATTCTGATTTAAAGCCCTAACTCGAATTAGATGGTATTCCTCCTGCAATGAAGTTTACCAGCTAATTCAAATTTAGGGGCTTTAAATCGGAATCCCGTTTCACTGCCGCGTGTAGACACGGGCAGTTACTTCGAGCTAGTCAATTTCTAAAAATATTTAAATCCCGGGCTTGATTTGCAATTTCGGTTGCCCTCATTAGCCTCCCTAGATTGATCTAGGGGGCTAGTGTAGACGTACTCTCATTCCCTCTCCTATACAAGCTAAAAATGCAGACTTCAGAGCTATGTTGTCTTTAACAAACACTACAGTCATTAAAAAATTATCTGCAAATTTGAAATTTGCGGTAAGTGAAGTTAATCCACTTTCATACTGAAGATGTTTCCCCTGTACAATATAAGCATGGATTGTCAAGGAGAGGAAACACACCTATCCATTGCTGTGGTCATGCAGTGAGCATCTTGGCTACAGTATTCTGGACTTCCTAGAGGTACAGAATACTGTTGAAGACATCCCATTTGATGGACCTAAGCTAGTGATCCCCAAACTTTTTGGCTGATGTTCCACCTTGCCTGATCAACATCCCCAACCCCAAGGTTGCGTTTAGGAGCCGGGGCCAGGAGTGGGGCTACAGCTGCAATAGGAAATGGGGGCTGAGTCCAGGAGCACAGCCAGAAGAAGAACTGTAGCGGAGAGTGGGCCTAACCATGGCTCTAGTGTTACAGCTGGAGCCATGGTCCAAGTGGGAAGCCAGGAGCTGTGGTCAGGGTTGGGAGCTGGAAGCTATGGCCAGGAATGGGGCCAGATTGGGGCCAGGAACCTAGGGCCACAGCTGGGGCCGCAACCAGAACTGGGTGGCACTCCCTTCCCACTTCCCATGGGGGATAGCCCAGGCCCTTCTGGGCTTCACTGAACATTCCTCCATGCCCCACAGGTTAGGGCCTGGCCTAAGCTTTTCAGAGAAGAACAGGCTTCTTGCTCTACACCCTTACAGATTCAAGGACAATGTTCAGGCCTTCATGTGCCTGCAACAAAGGGTATGTCTACACTAAAAAGTTAATTCAAACTAAAAGCCCTTAGTTCAAATTAACTTTAATAGCAGCTATACATGCAAACCGCTAGTTCGAATTTAAATCAAACTAGCGGAGCACTTAATTTGAACTAGGTAAACCTCATTCTACGAGGACTAACGCCTAGTTCGAATTAACTAATTCAAATTAAGTTAGTTCGAATTAGTGCTGTAGTGTAGACATACCCAAAGAGATTTAGCAGGTCCCAAACTGCACAATGTTCCAGATAGATTTCCTGCAGATGGAATTGGAATTTTCTCAGATCTTCAGAGCCTGCAAGGAGAACCAGACCTCAGAAAACATAACCTCTTTCCTATCAGTCTATATACACCTCATTCTAAAGAGACAGTTTTGACACTGCAGTCAAATTCCTAAACAATCTACTTCTCTGGAGTATTATTATTTCCCTCCCCCCATTGCCCTGCTATTCCTTTTGCCTCTGCCTCTCCCTACCCAGTGCAGCTCCCCTGCAGGAGGCGGCTCGTACAAATCATGTGACTGAGCAATCTAGGGGAGCATGTGACTCCTCTGCATCCCTCCCCCCCCCACGCTCTGCCATACCTTGCCTCTGCCTGGAAGCAGAGAAGATAATAAAATGTTTAGTAAATGCTGAATGTTTTTTCCAGGCTCCCACATATAAAGATATAAATTTTATATAAGAAGTATGGTAAAAGCAAAAGTGGATGATTTATGCTTATTACATTTTCATAACTAGTTACATGAAGCAGACATAGAACATTAATCAATAATATAAGTACAGTTATGCTAAATCAAAGGAAGTTTGGCCTTCCAGCCAAACACAGGATTGGGAACTGAATCAGCAGTTCTGAGTTGGTGATCTTGGGGGCAAGTCATTTACTTCTGTGCCTCATTTTCCCATGTAAACATGGATATTACATCAGATGTGTGAGTTTTAAGTTAGAAACACTTTCAAGAAAGTTTAAATATCCTAAGTTTGTATAAGTGCAAAGTAATACTATTAGTATAAATTCTAATGGTCCAATACTTGATTTTCTAGCTCTGAAATATTTTCCATGACTAAAAAAATAAGGGTATCCCATTATACACAACCACATACCCTCAACAATGGCTTAAGTTAGATGATCTTGCAGTAGGGAATGCACAACCAAACAATTTGAAAATAGTCTTTTTTGAAAGACAACACCCAGGCAGTCTGGATGCTCTCTTTCAAAAGAGCCCTGTTTGCATTCAAGAACGCCTTTTTTCAAAAGAAACAAAAAACAGGACTGCTAGGAATGTAGCCGTGTTAATCTGGTGCAGCTGAAACAAAAAACAGGACTGTGGGCCAGACCCACTTAAAGCTCATCACCTATTAAACCATCTTGTTAGTCTTTAAAGTGCTACACAGTCCTGTTTTTGTTTCAGCTGCACCAGACTAACAGGGCTACATTCCTAGCACTTTTGAAAAAAGGCGTTCTTCCTTGTAAAATGAGGTTTACCTCCGTCGAAAAAACCACCATGTTCTTTCGATTTAATTTCGAAAGAACACGGTAACAGTCTAGACACCGGAAGTTTTTTAAAAAAAGTCACTTTAAAAAAAACAAAACCCTGTAGTCTAGACACACCCTGGCTGGCAGTGACCCCGCACTCCATGCAGACTGGGAAGCTGCCAGAGGCAGGACGCAGTTTGACAGCCCAACGTCCCTTGCCCACAGTCAACAACTCCCCTGCGTAACCGCCACGCCCCACCCCCTCCGAGCCGGTTCTGACTGGCTCTGTGACGGCAGTTGTTCTTCAGCTCGCGCACTCACCTCCTCAACTCGAATCCAATCGCTTGCTCTTGACCCTCCCCACTCCTAGGCCTATGGGCACACGAGGGAGACGGGGGAAGGGAAGGGACAGGCGCATGCGCAACCCATAATACTCCCAACACAGAACGCCCTTCTCTATGGGCTAAAGTAGATAAACACCCCGTGGGCTCTTACTCCACTCCTTCCTAGGTTTGGCGTTCTCTTCTCCCTGATTGGTTGACATGTGCTGGTCTTCCTACCAGTGGGCGGGGAGAGTTCCCCTCTATGGGTGGCAGGTCTATTGAGTCGGGCGCATGCGCAGTTCATATTGTGCTCCAGTGGGTGGGTGTGCCTGTCTTCCCTCTCCCTCACCAGCCTTTGCCCGCAGCGCGTGCGCAGTGCGTTCCTAGGTTTGGCGTTCTCTTCTCCCTGATTGGTTGACATGTGCTGGTCTTCCTACCAGTGGGCGGGGAGAGTTCCCCTCTATGGGTGGCAGGTCTATTGAGTCGGGCGCATGCGCAGTTCATATTGTGCTCCAGTGGGTGGGTGTGCCTGTCTTCCCTCTCCCTCACCAGCCTTTGCCCGCAGCGCGTGCGCAGTGCGTTCGGACCAGTGCGCTGGGTCCGCGAGGACCCGGCTGGCGCGCACGTACTATGTGAGCTTAGCGTTTTGGAGGGAGCGGGCTCTGGTTTGCCCGGATCTGTCTCCGCCCCCTCGAAGAGCTGCGCTGTTGGAGCCGCCACGGGTGGGCTCCCGGTGCAGGCTCCCGGCCATTACGGGCCCGGGCTATGCCCTCCTACC